TGAGCTATATTTCCCTACTCTCTTGAGTATTTTCAGACTTCTGAAAAACTTCTGTAAAAGAAAGTTTGTTCTTTAAATTCTTTTTTTTTAAGTTGATAGACTTTTTTCTTATCTATATGTGATTCTTTTTTTTTTTTTAAGAGAGAGGGAGAGAGAGAATTTTAATATTTATTTTTTAGTTCTTGGCGGGCCCAACATCTTTGTATGTGGTACTGAGGATCGAACCCGGGCTGCACGCGTGCCAGGCAAGTGCACTACCGCTTGAGCCACATCCCCAGCCCGTATATGTGGTGCTGAGAATCAAACCCAGTGCCTCACAGAACCAAGTGCTCTGCCACTAATCCTGGAATTACAGGGCCTACCCCCTGTAAAAGAAATTTTTCTGTCGAATAGTCCTCATTCTTCTTTGGGCTTTGAATACTTTTTCTAGTAATAATGCCTGTAGACTCCAGTTATGTGGAAATTTAGTTAATGGAGTAATGCATTTTAAGGGAATGTTTTGCTTAGGTTGAGGCAGGCAGTTATGTCAGTGTCCAGTGTATCTTGCAGGCTATGAGCAGGGCAGGAAACAGTACATGTTACACTAATAGTCACTTTTAGTCACTGTAGAACCTCTGAACTTTATATAGTAACTTATATTTTACCCTTTCAGGAACAGATACAAATAATACCTGGGGGAGAACTAGGCACAAAATTGAAACTATTTATTGGATGAATGAATGAATTCTATGTTAGTGTTCGCAGAGGGGGGATATTATTGGTTCATTCTTACCATTTCAAAAATTTGATACATAGTGAGTGCCCTGATGGGGCTAATTTATAAGCCTATCCTTGGTGAAATAATTTTATGTCTAGATACCTGTGAAACAAAGGGATAAGCATCTCTACCATATTTTGTATACCTGTAGTATTCTCAGAAGTGTAGAAAACTAAAGAATGCTTTGAAAGAGAAAAAAGTGAAAAAAGCAGAATGCATGCATGTTAATATAATATAAATAAATCTTACTTGCATTTTTTTTTGGAGTAAATCTGTTGAAGTAAAATTACAATAAAATGAATCCATTTTAATTTCTATGAGTTTTGATTTATACATATGCCTGTGTGACCAACAGTATGCTAGATAAATATAGAAAATATTTCGTCCATTGTGATGCTTGGTTTGGGTCATGAAGTTTCTTACTTAATAGGTAAAAATGCTTTGGATTTTCTGTAAATTAAGCACAGTATTTTTTTTTTAAAGAGAGAGAGAGAGGAGAGAGAATTATTTAATATTTATTTTTCAGTTTTTGGCGGATACAACATGGTTGTATGTTGTATGTGGTGCTGAGGATCGAACCCGGGCCGCACGCATGCCAGGCGAGCGCACTACTGCTTGAGCCACATCCCCAGCCCATAAGCACAGTATTTTTAAAAATGCTATTTAAATGATTTTAGTGCTAAAAATTAAATCTGCATCTCTCTTTCTTGAACTCCACATGCAATTTTTCAGCAAATCCTATTGGTGATCTTCAGTATGTTTAGAATCCAACAGTTTGATAAACCACTTTCACCACTACCACCTGTTTCAAACTGCCATCATCTTGTGTGGATTATTACAATAGTCTCATGCTTCCATTCTGTTCTCTTCCAGTCTTACTTAATACAGTGGCCATTGATACTGTTAAAACGTCAGTCAAGTTAAAAAATCTTTCAGATGTTTTCCATCTTATTGAAAGTAACAATCAAAACCTTTACAATGTACTACAAAGTCCTGCACTCTGAACTCCTTCCCCAAGTAATAGTATTTTCAGCTTGCTTCAGCTACCCCAGAGATAATGTTGACCTTGCTGTCTCCCTTGAACACACCCCAAAGTTGAACACTCTGCCTACTTCAGGCATGTGTTTGCTGTTTCCTTTGCTTGGAAGGTGTTTCCCTCAGATATGAAAAGGACTTCCTGTTTCAGCCTTTTTCAAATCTTTATTTAGCTCTTCATTTTCTTTGTGAGGTATATAAGCAGATTTGAAATAAATCTCTCCCTTGCTGTCTTCCCAGCTTTGGTTTCCTACAAAATGCCTTTCAGTGTTCAATATATCTGTAGCATGAGTAATTATAATTTATATTTGTTATCTGTAAGAGCTGATAGGTTTGCTATGATTATAAAAGTTTATTTGCACATGGCAAAACAAAATTTTATGTTGAATTATGTAATTTTATGCATTTTAATGTTTAAATATTAATATTTTTTAAAGATCACAACAAATGTTTTCTGATTTTTCAAGGAAAAATTGAATATTCACAATAATTAACCATTAGCTGTGTTATTTTTCATCTGTTTTAAACTAAAATAAAGGGCTGGGGCTTCAGCTCAGTGGTAAAGAGCCCCCTGGGGTTCAAACCCCAATACCCCTCCAACAAAAACAAAAACCTAGAAATGAATGCAAGGGGTATACTAGCATACACTAACAGTAAAGATTATAAATATGGCATAAATTCTAATAATATAGTTTTATTAATAAAGTATCTAATACTGGGGGGAGTAAAAAGTGGTTCTAAAAACTGAATCAAAGTCCATCTTTGATCATTGTGAGGCTAGTACTGGGCCATTGCTAGCATAGTACCTGGATCATGGTAACTGCTTAATAAATGTCTATTGAGGCCCTCAGACTTTGTTTACTGATACATTCATTAATCAATTTATTTATTCAACAGGTACTATACCAACTGCCCTCCTAAGAAAGTGCTGAGATAGAGTATTATAATGATAATACAAGAGCTTCTGTAAGTAGGACAGTAGCCTTCTCTGTTTTAAAAGAAGATACACCCCCTTTCCACCCTTCTGTATAGAATATTTGTTTTTGATTTGGGGCAGAAAGTGTTACCAAAAAAAATTATAAGAAACTCAATACATTTATAGTCTAAAAATCTTGTGGTTTTTCCTTTGTGATACATCCTGATACCTACCTAAATTTTAAAGCATTTCTAGTACCTTATTTGATAAGTATATGAATCGTCCTAGGAATTCCTTTACTTATAAAACTTTCTAAATATTTTAAGTATATTGTTTTTTGAAGTTGAAGTTTAAATTGTATAGACTATTGATTGTGTACATCATGTAAATAAACAGGTAAAAAGATACTGAACCTCGTTAATGAAATAAAAGTTTTTTTTTTTAACCTATCAGATAATTAGAATTTAAAAACCTCTTTATTCCAACACTGGTGAGGATATGAGAAAAGGGCATAAAATTTACATACTATTTTTGGGGGCTGATTTAGAGGTAAAATTTGGATATATACAATAATAATCTGGATTATGGAATTAATTACAGAGATGTATAGGATTATATGTCAAAATCTAAAGCATTATTTGAAAGAGATAAAATAGCATCAACCATTAATGTTGGTTGTTTAATTATTGTATATCTGTATTAATAATAATTTACTACATTATAAAAACTGAAATAGAAATTTATAAGTGGATATGAAGAGATGTCAATGAAAATAGGGGAAAATGCAGGTAATAATATAGTTATACTGGAGAAAATTACAAATTATGTATTACTTTGTACATATAAAGATATGTAGAAAACCATGAGATATGCCTAACTGTGGGATTAGGGAAAGAAAAAGTGAGGGATTAGGGAAAGAGAAAGTGGAAGAGTTACACTTTTTTCCTTAATTTTTTTTTAGTTGTTGATAGACTTTTATTTAATTAATTTTTTATGTGCGGTGCTGAGAACCTAACACAGTGCCAGGCATGCTAGGCAAGTAGTCTACTGTGAGCCACAACCCCAGCCCCCAAGAGTTACACTTTTTATTTTTCTTTCTCCTGGAGGTTGAGTAAAACAATTACAAAACACAAGACATTTTAAAAGTTTAAATAGCTCTGGACTTTTTTTTTTCCTTTTTTTTTTTTGTGGTGCTGGGGATTGAACCCAGGGCCTTATGCATGTGAGGCAAGCCCTCTACTAACTGAGTTAATATCCCCAGCCCTGTGGACTTCTTTATTTATAGAGTGAGGAAATTTTCCCTAGTGTCTAGTAGAAATATCTCCTGTTTATCAAATCACTGACTTTAGTGGAGTCACTGATGTGGCATAGACTTACTTATTTGAGCTCTCTCATTCCCATGCTGGGAATCTAACCTAAAACCTTGAGCAAGATAGGAAACACTCTTGTCACTGATCTATGTCCCCCAGCCCCTTGGTTGATTTTAAAAATTGATGTATGGAACTCTCATAGGACATCCTAGCAACATTTTAAATTTTTTCTCCAATAGAACTGGGTGCTAAAATATGTTGATGAAAATAAAAACTTAAGGAAGGAAAAACTTAAGTACTTCCATTCATTTAAAATAAAGGATAGCTGGGCACTTATAATACCAGCAGTTTGGGAGGCTGAGGCGTGAGGAATGCAAGTTCCTGAAACCCTGTCTCAAAAAGGACTGGGGTTGTAGCTCTGGTAAAGCGCCCCGGGGTTTAATCCTCAGTCCCATATGGGAAGGGAAAAAAAGTTTCCTTTAATATGGCAGACTAAACAATTTAATGTGCTTTTATATTTTTAAAAAAATCAAATGGTAGTATCTGATTCAAGAGTGGTTAAAGAAAGAATGGTTAATTGGTTGCTTTTAAGTTTAAGAAAAAGGATGGCTTTTCTCATTGTCAATAGTTCCTTTTCACAATTGAGTGATTACTGTATGATCTGGTATCAAGAGTTGGTGTGTGTCCGTGCCCCACCAGGTTTGTAATTCACTGACATATTTGTCCTTGAGGAACTGGCCAACATTGAATGAAATGCTGTGTAACTTTGTAAATTTAGTTTTCAGGGTGCTGATAGATATTAAATAAAAAAAGTATCAAAGCACTTTATAAAACACTATTAGATACCCTCCTGGATTCTGAGTTTGGTTTTAAAAGATTCATTGATGTTTGGTATTTAATTTTTGGATATTAACTGAACCTCAAAATTTTTTTCTTCCTTTATATGTATTCCCACATGATTGTAGGAGTCTATCCTGAACTTAGATCGTGTACATTTTGGGAACTTATTTTAGAAAAGATCTAAGTTTTAAAAATTCTCAATGGACAGACAGAGAAAAGAGGGTCTTTGCCAACTCCTTTGGGTAAGAAAAATTTAGAATTTTGCAGATACTCTAAAAATGAAGGCCAACAAAACTAGGCAGATTCAATTATATTGTTTTCAAGTAAAATGATTTGTTATGATTTCTTTCTTTAGACTGCTGCAGTAAGAATGTCTTTCCCCCCTCATTTGAATCGCCCTCCCATGGGAATCCCAGCACTCCCACCCGGTATCCCACCCCCACAGTTTCCTGGCTTTCCTCCACCTGTGCCTCCAGGTAAGTTTGTTAAACTTTAGGTTTTTTAAACCTATGCTTTTGTCATTATGATATTAACTTTAGGAAAATGATATGTATGTGACTACTTCAGCAGTGAAGATATCTTTTATTTAGCATCATTCTGAAAATGGGTTTTTCATTTTCCTAAGGCAGTGGATTTGATATGTGACTGTCAGACTCACCTTGGAAATTCCTTTTAAAAATTCTATATTTAAAATACATAGGGCCAGGTGTGGTGGCACATGCCTGTAGTCCCAGTGACATGGGAGACTAAGGCAGGAAGATCACAAGTTCAAAGCCAGCCTCAACAACTTAGTGACCCTCTAAGAAACTCAGCAAGACCCTGTTTCAAAATAAAAATAAATAGGCTAGAGATGGGGCTCAGTGATTAAGCCCCTTTAGGTTCCATCCCTAGTACCAAATGGTATTCCCTTTCTTAAACAGGGAAAGTTATTAATCTTAATTTTGCAGGTACTTAAACATGCAGATTAGAAGCAAATACCAGTACATATTTATCTCTTAGTTCTAAGATTGGTTTGTTTTTAAGCACAGATACATAGTAGCATGCTATATCCACTAGTTTGCACCTTGCTTTTCTTCACTTGATAGTGTACCATAGCTTTCTAAATCAATATATGAACAGCTTCCTTCAAGAGTTCTGTGGAGTTAAAGCAATATTCAGGCCTTACCACAAATCCCTGAATTAGTTCCTCAGAAATTGGGGTTCTGGAATCTTTATTTTTAACAAGTTTGCAGCTATTTCTATGTATCAAATTAAGTAGATGGAACCCATATTTGAGAACAGTTATTCTGAAGTAGATAACATTATTTGACTTAAAGGAATGAGAGTTCCTTTGCTTCTACCATGTTTACTTTAGATCTTCAATATTATTGCCAGCTTGGTTGATGTTAAACTAATGTGGACATTTATTCAGAATGGTAATTATGTACTTTCTGATTTCATTTGTACTATTCTACATAATCATTTTTGTTTAGCAAAGAATACTTTACTTGACTGATAATCAGAATTTAGTTGTAGCTTAGGCACTACCAGCATTCTGTGTGCAATATCAGTATTTTAAAAGGTAAGTCATGAAAAAAACAAAGGTAGGTAGTGCACTGGGGACATGACTCAGTGGTAGAATGCCTTGCATGCTCGAGGCCCTGTGTTTGTTCCCTAGCACTGGAAGGGGTGGGCAAGGTAAGTAATGAAATATTATAAAAACTACTGAAATAATTGAGAAACACAGTACCCTTGATGCATAATTTTTGTGTTTGGCTTATGAGTATTGTTAATAACTCAGTGCAGTTAATTGGACTTTGATATAATATATGATGATTCTGAGTTTTAAAAAAATTTTTTGTTTTACATGGATAAAATACTTCTAGTTTATATATTTTATGTGGTGTTGTTGAGGATCGAACCCAATGCCTCACATGCTAGTCAAGTGCTCTGCCACTGTGCTACAACCCCAGACCCGGTGATCATGAATTTTAAATGAGAAAATAAGTCTGGTAACTAGCTATTGCTTTTCTTTAGAAAGTAAGACATGCCTACAGAAAAAGTTCCTTCCCCCAAATCAATCTTGTCAGTTTTCTAGGGTATTATTTCTCCAGAGATATGCTGTGCATTTCTTACTATTTGCTTGCGTTTACTCTTCCTATTTCCTTTTTAAAAAACTCAAATGTTAATATGCTCTTCACATTTTGTGTACTTTATTTTTGCTTAGCATGCATGATCATTATGATGAGCAGCACTGCTTTTTCAATGAAAATTTTGAAATGTACTTTGCTTATGTTTGCTTTAGCATGCATGATTTTTATAAACAGCAGCAATGCCTTATTTATTGTGAATGCTAATTGCAGAAATTCTGATGGCAATATTAGAGCACATGCTTAGTATGCACAAGACCTGAGTTGTAACCCTATCACCAAAAAGGAGGAAAAAAAAAGATAAATTTCAGGTATTAGTAAGTTGGATTAGGAAGCATTATTAGACTTTGAGTAAATATAAAAAGGGAAATTTAGAGATGTCTTTCTGAATGCTTTTCTTAATAGACAGTTTACCTACGGAATTGAGGCCATATGGGGGTACCATTATAGTTGGTAAATAGAGGAGTATTTATTTTTGGAAAGTTAAGGTGTAAAATTTAGATAACAACTGGTTAATTATAGGTGTTTTTGGTACTGGGGATTGAACCCAGGGGTGCTTTACCACTGAGCTATATTCCCATCCCCTTTTTATTTTTATTTATTATTATTTTTACATTTATTTTTCGATTGTAGTTGGACACAGTACCTTGATTTTATTTGTTTATGTGGTGCTGAGGATTGAACCCAGGGGATCGCACATGCGCTAGGCGAGCACTCTACCACTGAGCCACAACCCAAACCCCCCTTTTTATTTTTTATTTTGAGACGGGGTCATGCTGGGTTACTTAGGGCCTCTGACTAAATTGCTTGGGCTGACCTTAAACATGTGATCCTCTGCCTCACCCTCCTGAGCTGCTAGGTTTAAAGGCATGTGCCACCAGGATGGTTAGTTAATTATATTTTTACATACCCACAGTTATTTAAAAATACTTTTACTTTTTTGTGTGTATGTGTGTTGGGGGGCAGTAATGAGAATTGAACCCAGGGCTTGACATATGATAGCAATGCCCTGAGCCACTTGTCAAAAGAAATGAACTTTATTTTTAGAACCACATAGGCCAAACAAAACAGCTCCTCAGGAAAAACCCTCAGAGCCCAACTGCCA